GTTGTAGACCTCCAGACTGTTGTAGACCTCCAGACTGTTGTAGACCTCCAGACTGTTGTAGACCTCCAGACTGTTGTAGACCCAGACTGTTGTAGACCAGACTTTTTGTAGACCTCCAGACTTTTGTAGACCAGACTGTTGTAGACCCTCCAGACTGTTGTAGACCGCTGTGTGCCCTCCGATGTTGTAGACCCCCAAGGACTGTTGTAGACCAGACTGTTGTAGACCTCCAGACTGTTGTAGCCCCCAGACTGTTGTAGACCTCCAGACTTTTTGTAGACCTCCAGACTGTTGTAGCCTCCAGACTGTTGTAGACCTCAAAAACTGTTGTAGACCAGACTGTTGTAGACCTCCAGATGTTGTAGACCTCCAGACTGTTGTAGACCTCCAGACTGTTGTAGACTAGACTGTTGTAGACCAGACTGTTGTAGACCTCCAGACTGTTGTAGACCTCCAGACTGTTGTAGACCTCCAGACTGTTGTAGACCGACTTTGTAGACCTTCCAGACTGTTGTAGACCTCCAGACTGTTGTAGACCAGATGTGTAGACCTCCAGACTGTTGTAGACCAAACTGTTGTAGACCTCCGGGACTGTTGTGAGACCCTCCAGACTGTTGTAGACCTCCAGACTGTTGTAGACCTCCAGACTGTTGTAGACCAGACTGTTGTAGACCTCCAGACCTGTTGTAGACCAAACTGTTGTAGACCCCAGACTGTTGTAGACCAGACTGTTGTAGGACCTCCAGACTGTTGTAGACCAGACTGTTGTAGTGACCTCCAGACTGTTGTAGACCAGATGTTGTAGACTCCAAAGCCTGTTGTAGACCTCCAGACTGTTGTAGACCTCCAGACTGTTGTAGACCTCCAGACTGTTGTAGACCTCTAGACTGTTGTAGACCTCCAGACTGTTGTAGACCTCCAGACTGTTGTAGACCTCCAGACTGTTGTAGACATCCAGACTGTTGTAGACCAGACTGTTGTAGACCTCCAGACTGTTGTAGACTTCCAGACTGTTGTAGACTTCCAGACTGTTGTAGACCAGACTGTTGTAGACCTCTAGACTGTTGTAGACCTCCAGACTGTTGTAGACCAGACTGTTGTAGACCTCTAGACTGTTGTAGACCTCCAGACTGTTGTAGACCAGACTGTTGTAGACCTCCAGACTGTTGTAGACCAAACTGTTGTAGACCTCCAGACTGTTGTAGACCTCCAGACTGTTGTAGACCTCCAGACTGTTGTAGACCTCCAGACTGTTGTAGACATCCAGACTGTTGTAGACCTCCAGACTGTTGTAGACCTCCAGACTGTTGTAGACCAGACTGTTGTAGACCTCCAGACTGTTGTAGACCTCCAGATGTTGTAGACCTCCAGACTGTTGTAGACTTACAGACTGTTGTAGACCTCCAGACTGTTGGTAGACAGACTGTTGTAGACCTCCAGATTTTTGTAGACCTCCAGACTGTTGTAGACCTCCAGACTGTTGTAGACCTCCAGACTGTTGTAGACCAGACTGTTTTTAGACCTCCAGATGTTGTAGACCTCCAGACTGGTTGTAAGACCTCCAGACTGTTGTAGACCTCCAGAAGGTTGTAGACCAGGACTGTTGTAGACTTCCAGGACCTGTTGTTAGACCAGACTGTTGTAGAACCTCTAGGACTGTTGTAGACCTCCAGACTGGTTGTAGACCAGGACTGTTGTAGACCTCTAGACTGTTGTAGACCTCCCGACTGTTGTAGACCAGACTGTTGTAGACCTCCAGACGGTGTAGACCAAACTGTTGTAGACCTCCAGACTGTTGTAGACCAGACTGTTGTAAACCTCCAGACTGTTGTAGACCTCCAGACTGTTGTAGACCTCCAGACTGTTGTAGACCAGACTGTTGTAGACCTCTAGACTGTTTTAGACCTCCAGACTGTTGTAGACCAGACTGTTGTAGACCTCCAGACTGTTGTGACCAAACTGTTGTAGACCTCCCACTGTTTGTAGACCAGACTGTTGTAAACCTCCAGACTGTTGTAGACCTCCAGACTGTTTGTAGACCTCAGACTGTTGTAGACATCCAGACTGTTGTAGACCCAGACTGTTTGTAGACTTCCAGACTGTTGTAGACCTCCAGACTGTTGTAGACCTCCAGACTGTTGTAGACCTCCAGACTGTTGTAGACTAGACTGTTGTAGACCTCCAAGACTGTTGTAGACCTCCAGACTGTTGTAGACCAGACTGTTGTAGACCTCCAGACTGTTGTAGACCTCCAGACTGTTGTAGACCTCCAGACTGTTGTAGACCTCCAGACTGTTGTAGACCAGACTGTTGTAGACTTCCAGACTGTTGTAGACCTCCAGACTGTTGTAGACCTCCAGACTGTTGTAGACCTCCAGACTGTTGTAGACCTCCAGACTGTTGTAGACCTCCAGACTGTTGTAGACCTCCAGACTGTTGTAGACCAGACTGTTGTAGACCTCCAGACTGTTGTAGACCAGACTGTTGTAGACCTCCAGACTGTTGTAGACCAGACTGTTGTAGACCTCCAGACTGTTGTAGACCTCCAGACTGTTGTAGACCTCCAAACTGTTGTAGATGACCAGACTGTCTACAGAACACAAACTGTTGAGACTCCTTCGGTACACAACCGTCTCTTATCTACCATTTACCATCATTCAAGTGTGCGTAGTTTGTTATGACACACACCGTTCACCTTACACACAACACCACAACACACAAACACACACACACACAACAAACACACACACACACACACACCACACACACACACAACACAACACAAACACCACACACACAAACACACACACACACAAAAAACACACACACCACCAACACACCACACACACACAACACACACCACACACACACACACACACACACACACACACACACACACACCACACACACAACACCACACACACACACACACACAACACACACACACACAGTACACCACACACACACACAAACACACAGACACACACACACACACACACACACACACACACACACACACACACACACACACACACACACACACACACACACACACACACACACACCCACACACTACACACACACACACACACACCCGTTCACCTTACACCACACACACACACCGTTCACCTTACACAACACACACATTCACCTACACCACCACACACAACACACATCAACACTACACCACACCCCCACAACACACAACACACCCACACACACACCACACACACACACACCACACCACACCGTTCACCTTACACACACACCACCACACACCGTGCACCTTACAACACACAACACACACACACACACCGTTCACCTTACACACACACACACACACACACACACCGTTCACCTTACACACACACACACACACACACCGTTCACCTTACACACACACACACACACACACACAACACACACACACACACACACACATCGTTCACCTTACACACACACACACATTGTTCACCTTACACACACACACACCATCTTTTGTCCGACTGGACCACTCCTCCTGTCCTGTGATAAGGTTGGGAAAACATTGTGAAACTGATAACTCGTAGCCTGGTTTCTGGTTCCTGGCCAACATTGTTATTCAAGAAGCCTACCCTATCTGGCTCTGTCTCTAACCCTGTCCCTGGGTCCAGCTCTGTCTCTAACCCTGTCCCTGGGTCCAGCCCTGCCTCTAACCCTGTCCCTGGGTCCAGCCCTGCCCCTCTCCCAGCCCTGCCTCTAACCCTGTCCCTGGGTCCAGCCCTGCCCCTCTCCCAGCCCTGCCTCTAACCCTGTCCCTGGGTCCAGCCCTGCCCCTCTCCCAGCCCTGCCTCTAACCCTGTCCCTGGGTCCAGCCCTGCCCCTCTCCCAGCCCTGCCTCTAACCCTGTCCCTGGGTCCAGCCCTGCCCCTCTCCCAGCCCTGCCTCTAACCCTGTCCCTGGGTCCAGCCCTGCCTCTAACCCTGTCCCTGGGTCCAGCTCTGTCTCTAACCCTGTCCCTGGGTCCAGCCCTGCCTCTAGCCCTGTCCCTGGGTCCAGCCCTGTCTCTAGCCCTGTCCCTGGGTCCAGCCCTGTCTCTAACCCTGTCCCTGGGTCCAGCCCTGCCCCTCTCCTAGCCCTGTCTCTAACCCTGTCCCTGGGCCCAGCCCTGCCCCTCTCCTAGCCCTGCCTCTAACCCTGTCCCTGGGTCCAGCCCTGCCTCTAACCCTGTCCCTGGGCCCAGCCCTGCCTCTAACCCTGTCCCTGGGTCCAGCTCTGTCTCTAACCCTGTCCCTAGGTCCAGCCCTGCCCCACTCCTAGCCCTGCCTCTAACCCTGTCCCTGGGTCCAGCCCTGCCTCTAACCCTGTCCCTGGGTCCAGCCCTGCCTCTAACCCTGTCCCTGGGTCCAGCCCTGTCTCTAACCCTGTCCCTGGGTCCAGCCCTGCCCCACTCCTAGCCCTGTCCCTGGGTCCAGCCCTGCCCCACTCCTAGCCCTGTCTCTAACCCTGTCCCTGGGCCTAGCCCTACCTCTAACCCTGTCCCTGGGTCCAGCCCTGTCTCTAACCCTGTCCCTGGGCCCAGCCCTACCCCACTCCTAGCCCTCTCTAACCCTGTCCCTGGGCCCAGCCCTACCCCACTCCTAGCCCTCTCTAACCCTGTCCCTGGGTCCAGCCCTGCCTCTAACCCTGTCCCTGGGTCCAGCCCTGCCTCTAGCCCTGTCCCTGGGTCCAGCCCTGCCTCTAACCCTGTCCCTGGGTCCAGCTCTGTCTCTAACCCTGTCCCTAGGTCCAGCCCTGCCCCACTCCTAGCCCTCTCTAACCCTGTCTATTCCTGCCCCACTCCTAGCCCTGTCCCTGGGCCCAGCCCTGTCTCTAGCCCTGTCCCTGGGCCCAGCCCTACCCCACTCCTAGCCCTCTCTAACCCTGTCCTTGGGTCCAGCCCCGCCCCTCTCCTTGCCCTCACCCTCGCCTTGCTCCACCCTTCCCATGATTCTCAGTCTCTATAAGACTAGCCGTCCAGCAGCGACAGTTTCCTGTTCTCTCTGACTCTCCTCTCCTCCATCTCTCTATCCACCTGTTTCTCTGTCTGTCTGTCTGTGGATCTCTGAGTGACAGCCATCATGTTCGTTGCTCCACCTGGCTACCAGCCCGTCTACAACCCTGTGAGTAGCATGTCTCCTTGTCTAGTGCATATAGATATTATAGATATTGTCTGGATCTACCATTCTGCAGGGTTGGGAGGTCATTTCCATTTCAATTCCAGTCAATTCAGGAAGTACACTGAAATTCCAATTTCAATTCTCTTCAATGCTTGGAATTTGGTTTACTTTCTGAATTGACTGAACCCCAACCATTGGCTGTCTGTATGTAACAACCGTCTTCATTTATTTGTTTTCACATTTTTACTCTACCTACTTCAAAAAGTTTGCAGACTGCCTTGCATCTATACTTGTGTATAGTTGTTGAATTGTTATCACTGTGTGTTGTGTGCAGTGTATCCCCTATGTGGGGCCGATCTACGGCGGGCTGAGATCAGGGATGTCTATTTACATCCAGGGAGTCATCCCCCACGAGATCACCAGGTGAGACTCACAGCCTCTGAGGATTGGAAGAATGTTACACACATCAGATTGTAACGTTTGAAGGGCGACAACAAGGGAATTTTGTTTACACATTCTTAAATTGTGGGATCTGTATCAACGATGATGTGCTGGACACAAAATGATATTGTTCTTCGCCTTATTGTTTTAATGCGAATTAGCGTTTGATGGATTACAAAAAAAAAATAATAGTATTGCATCATTGCTTGGTGGGTTGAGTATTCCAAAACAACCAGGTGCCCTTGGAGAGGAATAGTTCCAGACATCCTAACCACTAATAGGTGGTCAGTCCAAGTCCAGGCGCTCTTGTGGGTTTGAAAGTTTAAAAGCCTTTAATGTGTGGGCTAAGTCACTCTTAAAATGCACCAGCACGTAACGGCTAACGCCTTCATCAACGTGTCGGATACAATGTGATGGAGAAACAATTATATAGCCACGACACACCTGTGTCAGGTGATCACAGGTAATTATATAGCCACGACACACCTGTGTCAGGTGATCACAGGTAATTATATAGCCTTGACACACCTGTGTCAGGTGATCACAGGTAATTATATAGCCTTGACACACCTGTGTCTGGTGATCACAGGTAATTATATAGCCACGACACACCTGTGTCAGGTGATCACAGGTAATTATATAGCCACGACACACCTGTGTCAGGTGATCACAGGTAATTATATAGCCACGACACACCTGTGTCAGGTGATCACAGGTAATTATATAGCCTTGACACACCTGTGTCAGGTGATCACAGGTAATTATATAGCCTTGACACACCTGTGTCAGGAGATCACAGGTAATTATATAGCCTTGACACACCTGTGTCAGGAGATCACAGGTAATTATGTAGCCTTGACACACCTGTGTCAGGTGATCACAGGTAATTATATAGCCTTGACACACCTGTGTCAGGTGATCACAGGTAATTATATAGCCTTGACACACCTGTTTCTGGTGATCACAGGTAATTATATAGCCTTGACACACCTGTGTCTGGTGATCACAGGTAATTATATAGCCTTGACACACCTGTGTCAGGTGATCACAGGTAATTATATAGCCTTGACACACCTGTGTCAGGTGATCACAGGTAATTATATAGCCTTGACACACCTGTGTCAGGAGATCACAGGTAATTATATAGCCTTGACACACCTGTGTCAGGAGATCACAGGTAATTATGTAGCCTTGACACACCTGTGTCAGGTGATCACAGGTAATTATATAGCCTTGACACACCTGTGTCAGGTGATCACAGGTAATTATATAGCCTTGACACACCTGTTTCTGGTGATCACAGGTAATTATATAGCCTTGACACACCTGTGTCTGGTGATCACAGGTAATTATATAGCCTTGACACACCTGTGTCAGGTGATCACAGGTAATTATATAGCCTTGACACACCTGTGTCAGGTGATCACAGGTAATTATATAGCCTTGACACACCTGTGTCAGGAGATCACAGGTAATTATATAGCCTTGACACACCTGTGTCAGGAGATCACAGGTAATTATGTAGCCTTGACACACCTGTGTCAGGTGATCACAGGTAATTATATAGCCTTGACACACCTGTGTCAGGAGATCACAGGTAATTATGTAGCCTTGACACACCTGTTTCTGGTGATCACAGGTAATTATATAGCCTTGACACACCTGTGTCTGGTGATCACAGGTAATTATATAGCCTTGACACACCTGTGTCAGGTGATCACAGGTAATTATATAGCCTTGACACACCTGTTTCTGGTGATCACAGGTAATTATATAGCCTTGACACACCTGTTTCTGGTGATCACAGGTAATTATATAGCCTTGACACACCTGTGTCTGGTGATCACAGGTAATTATATAGCCTTGACACACCTGTTTCTGGTGATCACAGGTACTTCCTCTATTGGCCACTAGGGGCCGGCATAATAACAACACAGTATATCTTAAGCAAAAAAGAACAGAAAATGAACTATTTACAATGCATACACAGGAAAAATACATTTTACACTAGGCAGATGGTGGAATAATGGACGTTGTCATTAAATAACCCACAGAGTGTAGTTACTTGTCTGGCTCTAGTAGGTTATCAGATGATGACAACTGAAACTAGAAAACTCTCTCATTCCAGCTATGCTCTGAACAAAAATAGAAACGCAACATGTAAAGTGTTGGTCCCATGTTTCATGAGCTGAAATAAAACATCCTAGAAATCTTCCATACGCACAAAAAAGTTTATTTCTTTCAGATTTTGTGAACAAATGTGTTTACATCCCTGTTAGTGAGCATTTCTCCTTTGCCAAGGTAATCCATCCACCTGACAGGTGTAGCATATCAAGAAGCTGATTAAACAGCATGATCATTACACAGGTGCACCTTGTGCTGGGGACAATAAAAGGCTACTCTACAATGTGCAGTTTTGTCACACAACACAATGCCACAGATGTCTCACGTTTTGAGGGAGTGTGCAATTGGCATGCTGACTGCAGGAATGTCCACCAGAGCTGTTGCCAGAGAAATTAATATTTATTTCTCAACCATAAGCTGCTTCCAATGTCATTTTAGAGAATTTGGCAGTACGTCCAACCAGCCTCACAAACGCAGACCACGTGTAACCACGCCAGCCCAGGACCACATTCACCTGCGGGATCGTCTGAGACCAGCCACCCGGACAACGAATGAAACTCTGGGTTTGCACAACCGAAGAACTTCGGCACAAACTGTCAGAAACTGTCTCAGGGAAGTTCATCTGCATGCTCGTCGTCCTCACCAGGGTCTTGACCTGACTGCAGTTCAGAGTCATAACCGACTTCAGTGGGCAAATGCTTACCTTTTGCTGACCACTGGCACGCTGGAGAAGTGTGCTCTTCATGGATGAATCCCGGTTTCAACTGTACCGGGCAGATGGCAGACAGCTTGTATGGCGTCGTGTGAGTGAGCAGTTTGCTGATGTCAACGTTGTGAACAGAGTGCCCCATGGTGGTGGTGGGGTTATGGTATGGGCAGGCATAAGCTACAGACAACGAACACAATTGCATTTTATCGATGGCAATTTGAATGCACAGAGATACCGTGACGAGATCCTGAGGCCCATTGTCGTGCCATTCATCCGCCGCCATCACCTCATGTTTCAGCATGATAATGCATGGCCCCATGTCGAAAGGATCTGTACACAAATCCTGCAAGCTGAAAATGTCCCAGTTCTTCTAAGGCCTGCATACTCACTCCAGACATGTCACCCATTGAGCATGTTTGGGATGCTCTGGATCCACATGTAAGACAGCGTGTTCCAGTTCCAGCCAATATCCAGGAACTTCGCACAGCCATTGAAGAGGAGTGGGACAACATTCCACAGGCCATAATTAACAGCCTGATCAACTCTATGCGAAGGAGATGTGTCACACTGCATGAGGCAAATGGTGGTCACACCAGATACTAACTGGCTTTCTGATCCACGCCCCTACCTTTTTTTTTTTAAAGGTATCTGTGACCAACAGATGCATATATATATTCCCAGTCATGTGAAATCCATAGACTAGAGCCTAATGAATTTATTTCAGTTGACTGCTTTCCTTACATTATATTTTTGTTTATGATGCAAATCTGCTGCAGTGGGGGGAGTGCTCCACCCCTCTTCCTCCTGAATGTACCAAGTGTCTAGTTACAATGACTAATGTACGTTGAAAGAACATTCTCTGCCTCTCAGCCTGCTGACTATGTTATAACAAGGAGGTTTACCCTTGTGCTATCAGAGAGAGGGCAGGGCACAGGCGCACACACACACACAGGCACACACACACATACACACACACACACACACACACACATACACACACACACAGGCACACACACACATACACACACACACAGGCACACCTTTATCAGAAGTGCATCCCTCCTCTGTGTATTTTTCAGACAACAGTCAGTCCTATCAGTTATGTTAGAACACAATGAGACCTTAACAGTAAGAGCCCTTGGTGTGGTATATAAAGGGTCATTCCAGGAAAAGAGTGCCTTTTGTGTCCCTTTGATATGTTCAGTAGAAATTGTGCACCAACATTGAATTTTAACAGCCTGTTAATATTAAATTAAGTGCTCTTTAATATACACCACACGGAGGAGTCAGTAAATCTGATTTTTAATATGAATAAAGGCTTGCTAATGTGCCAAAGTTCTGCATTTTGCCATGTCCCTCCGTCAACCCCATGTCACTTCTAGGAAGATTTTAATCCCAACATTTCTCCAAGTTTCACCATCATTGAAAAGCCCTAGTTATTTTGTTGCTTTGACATTTATATAATGTGATTAGTGCTTTATTTGTGTCTGTCCCTCAATCATGTTACGTGAACTGAACTCTCATTTTAACAGCGTGAAAGTATTCCTTAATTATTATTATTTTTAAATAATCATAGTTCTACTCTTTTTGGCAATTTTTCTGGTGTTTTGTGGTGGAAAACTGAGCGGAAAGAGCATAACACGTCATCCCTGTTACTCATAGATAGACAGGCTAGAAATGTATTAGCAATGTTAGTTTTTTTTGTGAAGCTTGCATTCAATTGCCACTTCCTGTTGCACACAACAAGATTCCATTCCCCCTGTCACAAGGGGATTTATGGCTGATTTAAGATGAAGTCATCAACCCTGATACGGTCAATCCTGTTATGGTCAACCCTGTTACTTTATTTGGCACTTAATGTTAACCTCTACGGGATCGGTGACCCTTGCTCAATATGCAATATGTGACTAGAATGGTGATGTAAACAACAGCCAACTTTCCGGGACATAGACATGTCTTATAAGGGCAGAAAGCTTAAATTCTTGTTAATATAACTGCAGTGTCCAATTTACAGAAGCTATTACAGCTAAAAAAAAAAATACCATGCACCTCTGAAGGTAAATAATGTACTTACATTCAGTAATCTTGCTCTGATTTGTCATCCTGAGGGTCCCAGAGATAAAATGTAGTGTAGTTTTGTTTGAGAAATCAATTTTTATATTCAAATGTAGGAACTGGGTTCTACAGTTTGACCTCTGACTCCACACCCACCCCGCCCGGGCCACCTAGATGTGTGAGGGTTAGTGTCTTTTCTGTAGGGAAGCTAATGATCCGTCATTTATGACATACCTGGGAGTGTGCAAACTTAAATGTTGTATTACCATAGCATTTTTGTATGTTCTCTATAGTTATTGACTTGAAAACCAATTCAGCACATTTGGGAAAACTCCTGGCAGATTTGATACAAAATGTTGTGTAGTGATGTAAATCTTCACTGGTCAGTCTGAAACTTTGCACACACACTGCTGCCATCTGGTGGACAACATTTAAATTACATCTAGAATCCCCCATCACTGTCTGGCCTTTCTCTTGCATTTCAAAGATCATGCAACCATTTTTTTAATAGAATACGCATGTTTTTTTGTTTGTATTATCTTTTACCAGATCGAATGTGTTATTCTCCTACAAAAATTTCACATTTCCACAAACTTCAAAGTGTGTCCTTTCAAATGATATCAATAATATGCATATCCTTGCTTCAGGTCCTGAGCTACAGGCAGTCATTTTAGGCGAAAATTGAAAAAAAAGGGTCCGATCCATGTAACGTAACCAGGAAAAACTTTAGGCCTTAATTAAAATGCTCTGGAGTTTTGTCTGGTCAGCTCTAATGGTTAGGAAAAACTCAAGACCTGTGTTACCGGTGTTACCTGTTTCCGATCTGTTCATTCTATGTCCTCTCTAGGTTCCACATTAATCTGCAGTGTGGGGAATTTGAGGGCAGTGACATCGGCTTTCACTTCAGCCCTCACTTCAAAGGATGGGACAAGGTGGTGTTCAACAGCTGCCAGGAAGGGGAATGGGGATCAGAGGAGAAGACCCACAACATGCCTTTTAGCAAGGGAGACGCCTTCGAGATGGTCATCATCATCAACCAGGAGGGTTACCAGGTCAGATATAGATAATATATAGTAATATATACTGTATAGATACTGTGTAGATATAGTAATAGATATAGATGTAGCTATAGATTCTGTATAGATATAGATACTGTATGGATATAGATAAAGATACTGTATAGATATAGTTATAGACTGTATCGATATAGATATAGAGACTGTATAGATATACAGTGGGGGAAAAAAGTATTTAGTCAGCCACCAATTGTGCAAGTTCTCCCACTTAAAAAGATGAGAGAGGCCTGTAATTTTCATCATAGGTACACGTCAACTATGACAGACAAATTGAGGAAAAAAAATCCAGAAAATCACATTGTAGGATTTTTAATGAATTTATTTGCAAATTATGGTGGAAAATAAGTATTTGGTCACCTACAAACAAGCAAGATTTCTGGCTCTCACAGACCTGTAACTTCTTCTTTAAGAGGCTCCTCTGTCCTCCACTCGTTACCTGTATTTATGGCACCTGTTTGAACTTGTTATCAGTATAAAAGACACCTGTCCACAACCTCACAGTCACACTCCAAACTCCACTATGGCCAAGACCAAAAAAAAAAAAACTCAACTCACATGTGACAGACGTGACAGAGTCTGGAGACGCCGTGGAGAACGTTCTGCTGCCTGCAACATCCTCCAGCATGACCGGTTTGGCGGTGGGTCAGTCATGGTGTGGGGTGGCATTTCTTTGGGGGGCCGCACAGCCCTCCATGTGCTCGCCAGAGGTAGCCTGACTGCCATTAGGTACCGGGATGAGATCCTCAGACCACTTGTGAGACACTTGTGTATGTTAACACCATATGCTGGTGCGGTTGGCCCTGGGTTCCTCCTAATGCAACACTATGCTAGACCTCATGTGCCTGGAGTGTGTCAGCAGTTCCTGCAAGAGGAAGGCATTGATGCTATGGACCGCCTGTTCCCCAGACCTGAATCCAATTGAGCACATCTGGGACATCATGTCTCGCTCCATCCACCAACGCCACGTTGCACCACAGACTGTCCAGGAGTTGGCGGATGCTTTAGTCCAGGTCTGGGAGGAGATCCCTCAGGAGACCATCCGCCACCTCATCAGGAGCATGCCCAGGCGTTGTAGGGAGGTCATACAGGCACGTGGAGGCCACACACACTACTGAGCCTCATTTTGACTTGTTTTAAGGACATTACATCAAAGTTGGATCAGCCTGTAGTGTTGTTTTCCACTTTAATTTTGAGGGTGACTCCAAATCCAGACCTCCATGGGTTGATACATTTGATTTCCATTGATAATTTTTGTGTGATTTTGTTGTCAGCACATTCAACTATGTAAAGAAAAAAGTATTTAATGAGATTATTTCATTCAATCAGATCTAGGATGTGTTGTTTAACTGTTCCCTTTATTTTTTTGAGCAGTGTAGTAATAGACTGTATCGATATAGATTGTGTATGGATATAGATACTGTATAGAGATAGATACTGTATAGAGGTAGATATACAGTACCAGTCAAATGTTTTAGAACACCTACTCATTCAAGGGTTTTTCTTTATTTTTTACTATTTTCTACATTGTAGAATAATAGTGAAGACATCAAAACTATAAAATAACACATATGGAATCATGTAGTAACCAAAAAAGTGTTAAACACAAATAGCCACCCTTTGCCTTGATGAAAGCTTTGCATACTCTTGGCATTCTTTCAACCAGCTTCACCTGGAATGCTTTTCCAACAGTCTTGAAGGAGTTCCCACATATGCTGAGCACTTGTTGGCTGCTTTTCCTTCACTCTGCCGTCCGACTCATCCCAAACCATCTCAATTGGGTTGAGGTCAGGGGATTGTGGAGGCCAGGTCATCTGATGCAGCACTCCATCACTCTCCTTCTTGGTAAAATAGCCCTTACACAGCCTGGAGGTGTGTTGGGTCATTGTCCTGTTGAAAAACAAATGATAGTCCCACTAAGCCCAAACCAGATGGGATGGCGTATCGCTGCAGAATGCTGTGGTAGCATGCTGGTTAAGTGTGAATTTAATTATAAATAAATCACAGACTGTGTCACCAGCAAAGCACCCCCAAACCATAACACCTCCTCCTCCATGCTTTACGGTGGGAACTACACATGTGGAAATCATCCGTTCACCCACACTGCATCTCACAAAGACACGGCAGTTGGAACCAAAAATCTCAAATTTGGACTCATCAGACCAAAGGACAAATTTCCACTGGTCTAATGTCCATTGCTCGTGTTTCTTGGCCCAAGCAGGTCTCTTCTTCTTATTGGTGTCCTTTAGTAGTGGTTTCTTTGCAGCAATTCGACCATGGAGGCCAGTTGATGTTGAGATGTGTCTGTGACTTGAACTCTGTGAAGCATTTATTTGGGCTGCAATTTCTGAGGCTGGTAACTCTAATGAACTTATCCTCTGCAGCAGAGGTAACTCTGGGTCTTCCATTCCTGTGGCGGTCCTCATGAGAGCCAGTTTCATCATAGCGCTTGATGGTTTTTGCAACTGCACTTGAAGAAACTTTCAAAGTTCTTGAAATGTTCCGTATTGACTGACCTTCATGTCTTAAAGTAATGATGGACTGTCGTTTCTCTTTGCTTATTTGAGCTGTTCTTGCCATAATATGGACTTGGTCTTTTACCAAATAGGGCTATCTTCGGTATACCCCCCTACCTTGTCACAACACAACTGATTGGCTCAAACGCATTAAGAAGGAAAGAAATTCCATAAATTAACTTTTAACAAGGCACACCTGTTAATTGAAATGCATTCCAGGTGACTACCTCATGAAGCTTGTTGAGAGAATGCTAAGAGTGGGCAAAGGGTGGCTATTTGAAGAATCTCAAATATAAAATATATTTTGATTTGTTTAACACTTTCTTGGTTACTACATGATTCCATATGTGTTATTTCATAGTTTTGATGTCTTCACTATTATTCTACAATGTAGAAAATAGTAAAAATAAAGAAAAACCCTTGACTGAGTAGGAGTTCTAAAACTTTTGACCGGTAGTGAGCAACTATGCTGTGTAGTTATATATACAGGGAACTGCCAACATAGTGGAAACACTTGAGTAAGTGAGATTTTACAAAGTATATTGAAAGCAGGTTCCTGTGTTAATTAAGCAATTAACATCCCATCATGCCTAGGGTCTTGGATAAACATGCTGGGCAGGCCATTATTTTGGCTACCATGGCTATGCCCCCATAGGATTACAATGCCCCCATCCACAGGGCACGAGTGGTCACTGAATGGTTTGATGAGTAGGAAAATGACGTGAACCTTATGCCATGGCTGTCTCAGTCGCCAGATCTCAACCCAATTGAACTCTTTTGGGAGATTCTGGAGCAGTACCTGAGACAGCATTTTCCACCACCATCAACAAAACACCAAATGAAGGAATTTCTTGAGGAAGAATGGTGTCGCATCCCTCCAATAGAGGTGTGGTGGCCCAACTCCCTATTGAGTTGTGTATGGGTTAGGGTTAGTCCATAGTTGTGTATGATCAAACGAGCTGATGTGTTTTTCTGTCGTAGGTGACAGTGAACGGGCGAGACTTTCATATGTTCATGCATCGTATTCCAGTTGAAAGAGTCAATGCCCTGCAGATAGGAGGTGACGTTTCCATCCAGACCATCAACGTCATCGGGGTGAGACTGGGGCAGGGGGGCAGGGAGCAGGGGGGCGGGAGGGTAGGGGCAGGGGGCAGGGGCAGGGAGCAGGGGAGCAGGGGGGCAGGGGGGGTATGAGTAGGAGCAGGGGCAGGGAGCAGTATTTTAACCCGCTTCAGGGTAGAAGTTGCCTTCTGTTGCCCACAAATCTAGGGTCAGCATACCCTTCCCAAATCCTACAGGGAAGATAATTGCTCCATCATCTGTCATTTGTATGTTAATTAATTTGTTCAAAGCTTCGGGCAGCAGTTGCAACCAAAACATGGGATGAGAGAACGGGAGAGAATTTAAAAAAGAAAATAATACATTTCTCAATAGTCTTTGCTTTTGCCCTTCTGTGTGCCAGGACACACACCACACACACACACCACATATACACCACACATACACCACACACACACCACACACACACATACACACACACACACACACACCACACACCACACACACACACACACCACACATACACCACACATACACCACACACACACACACACACACAAGAGGACAGATGTAGCTGTGTATCTGGAATAAGCTGTGTATTCTTCAGGGAGGAGGAGGAATGGGAGGTGGATATCCTACAGGTGGAATGGGAGGAGGCAACATGGCGGTAAGTATATATATATACACACTGTACATTTATCAAACCCACTATCTACCAACTGACCATACAGGACCACTGGAGGGCTTAGCACTGTATGTGTGGCGTAACTGTACACAGAGATATATATATATATACTCATGAGTCTGTGTCTTAGTGTGTCATAAACTCTGGATAACATTTGGTGTGTTTCCCACCATCAACAGGGAGGATATCCTGCTAGCGGATACCCAGGTGATCAAATGGGGGTAAGTTGGTACCACACTTGGTTACCTGTGTCTGTGTCATCCAATACCATTACATATATATATATTTGTATGTCTGTCAATGCTTATCAGGGAGGATACCCCCAGGGTGGAGGGTACCCCCAGGGTGGAGGATACCCCCAGGGTGGAAGGTACCCCCAGGGTGGAGGGTACCCCCAGGGTGGAGGGTACCCCCAGGGTGGAGGGAACCCCCAGGGTGGAGGATACCCAGGTGGCATGGGGGTAAGTCTGTTCTGTTCTCTAATACTTCACTCTGTCTCACCCACAGGGTGGGGGTCAGTACACTATCACCTGTGTGGTTGTAACAGTGGGAGGTGGTATGGGGTCAGTACCGTCACCTGTTGTAACAGTGGGAGGTGGTATGGGGTCAGTACCGTCACCTGTTGTAACAGTGGGAGGTGGTATGGGGTCAGTACCGTCACCTGTTGTAACAGTGGGAGGGTGGTATGGGGCTCAGTACCGTCACCTGTTGTAACAGTGGGAGGTGGTATGGGGTCAGTACCGTCACCTGTTGTAACAGTGGGAGGTGGTATGGGGTCAGTACCGTCACCTGTTGTAACAGTGGGAGGTGGTATGGGGTCAGTACCGTCACCTGTTGTAACAGTGGGAGGTGGTATGGGGTCATACCGTACCTTTGTACATGGAGTGTATGGTCAGTAGTACCGTTGTAACATGGGAGGTGGTATGGGTCAGTACGTCACCTGTTGTAACAGTGGGGTGGTATGGGTATACGTCACCGTTAACGTGGGAGGTGGTTGGGGTAGTACGTATGTGTGGTTGAGTGGTTGGGTATGTATGTTGTAGTGGGGGTGGTATGGGTGTGTGTACGTGTTTGTGGGATGTGTTGCGTACGTTGTTGTACAGTGGGTGTGATGTGTCTTGTGTTGTGTGATGTGTTTGACGTGGTGTTTTATGTGTTAATGGGTGTGGTGTGGGTGATGTTTTGTGTGTGTGTATGTGTTGTGTGTGTTGGGTGTGTGTGATGTGTTTGGTGTGTGTGTGTGTGTTTGGTGTGTGTGTGATGTGTTTGGTGTGTGTGTTTGTTGACTTGTTTGGTTGTGTTTTGTGTGTGTGTGGTGTTGTGTTGGTGTTGGGGATGTTTTGTGTGTGTGTTGTGTGTGTTGGTTGTGTGTGTGTGTTGTGGTGTGATGTGTTGTTTGGTGTGTGTGTGATGTGTTTGGTGTGTGTGATGTGTTTGGTGTGTGTGTGTGTGTTTTTTGGTGTTGTGTTGTTTTGTGTGTGTTTTGGTGTGTGTGTGTTGTGGTGTTGTTTGTGTGTGTGTGTTTGTGTGTGTTGTGTGTGTTTGTGTGTGTTGTTTGTTTGGTGTTGTTGTGTGTGTGTGTGGTGTTTGTGTGTGTGTGTGTGTGACGTGTTTGGTGTGTGTGTGGTCAGGGACAGGGATGTTACCCTGGTGGAGCTGGAGGAAACCTGCCGGTCATGGATGGACAACCAATATACAACCCTGTAAGTAACATCTCTGTGAGTCAGGATGGATTTGTTTTGTCCTAAGTATACATATATACAGTATACACTACATTCTGTCAGTGAACTGACTCCTGTCCTGTGTGTCACAGCCTGTCCCGTACTCCAGCATGATTCCAGGAGGGATGTGTCTTAAGAAGACCATCGTCATCAGAGGCATGGTGCCTCTAGGAGCTAACAGGTCTGTAGTACGCTAACCCCTATCCCCTATCCCCTATCCCCTAACCCCTAACCCTAACCCTATCACCTAACCCCTAACCCCTATCCCCTAACCCCTATCCCCTATCCCCTAACCCCTAACCCCTAACCCCTATCCCCTAACCCCTAACCCCTATCCCCTATCCCCTATCCCCTAACCCCTACCCCTAACCCATCAGAGGCATGGTCCCTCTAGGACTAACAGGTCTGTAGTACGCTAACCCTACCCCTAACCCATCCCCTAACCCCTATCCCCTAACCCAACCCCTATCCCCAACCCCTAATCCACCCCAACCCCTAACCCACCCCTAACACCCCTACCCCTAACCCCTACATCCCCTAACCCCTACCCCTACCCCTAACCCCTAACCCCTAACCCCTAACCCTACCTAACCCCTAACCCCTAACCCCTAATCCCCTAAAACCCCTATCCCCTAACCCTACCCTATCCCCTATCCCCTAACCCCTATCCCCTACCCCTAACCCCTAACCCTAACCCTAACCCCTATCCCTATCCCCTAACCCCTAACCCCTAACCCCTATCCCCTAACCCCTATCCCCTAACCCCTAACCCCTAACCCCTAACCCCTAACCCATCAGAGGCATGTTGGTTCTAGGACACGCAGGTCACCCGTGATACAAGTCAGTATTCAATGTCTATCCATGTCTGATGATGTCAGGAGATGACATGGAAACCGGCCACTAGGATCAACAGTGAGTCTGCCTCTGATTCCAACTGTCGCATGTTCAAATCCAGCGATTGAAAGTTGTTATTGATATTTTTGTTTTAAGCCTATCCCAAACCTTCACACCTTACCTTAACCATTCGGAGTTAATGCCTAAACGTAACCTTAAACACTTCGAAATTTGACATTTGGAACAACTTCGAAATTTGACATTTGAGAAACATGGATGAACGTCTAATTCTGACGTGAGACTGTGAGAGCTAGTAGAGGAGCTACCAGGTCTGTGGGTCCTCAGCCCGGTCTCAGCTCGGTCTCAGCCCTTCCCCCAGCTATAGAAATATTGCTGTTGTATTATGCCTGTGTATTTTACTGCATGTGGGAGTGTAGACTATATGTTTACCGGTGGGCCTGTTCTGTTGTGTTGCAGGTTCTCTATAAACTTTATGGTGGGCGGCTCGCGGGACATAGCGTTCCACATGAACCCTCGTCTACAGGAGAGAGAGGTGGTGAGAAACAGTATGATTGGTGGGAGCTGGGGCATGGAGGAGAGAGAGATCAGCATCAACCCCTTCCAGGCGGGACAGTACTTTGACGTGAGTACACAAAGCCATGGAATCTCACTTTTGTCAAGGTTCACAGGCATGAGATCTATGGACATATAATTGATGTTGTCAAAGATGACAACATTCTGACTCGTTCCTCAGTTACTCCACTCTCTCTGTTCCTCTGTTCTCAGGTTGCTTATTCATTGCCCTTTTGGCTATCTGTGTCAAGCTAGTTTTTTCTAGGTCTGTGTCCAAAATGTTACCCTATTCCATATACAGTGAACTACTTTTGACTAGGGCCTATGGGGTGCACGATGTATGGAGTAGGGTGCCATTTCGGATGCAGACCATGTCTGTGGACATATATCAAATACAAGTTCAAAGTCAGATAAGTGTCCTTTCTGTTTGTCATCACACTCATTCCTCATCAAGTCTCTATGGGCTCTGTCTTTATGATTATTTCTCTCTCTCTCTCTCTCTCTCTCTCTCTCTCTCTCTCTGTCTCTCTCTGTCTCTCTCTGTCTCTCTGTCTCTGTCTCTCTCTCTCTCTCTCTCTCTCTCTCTCTCTCTCTCTCTCTCTCAGATGTCTATCCGTTGTGGGAACCAGCGGTTCAAGGTGTTTGTGAACGGGCAGCACATGTGTGACTTCTTCCACCGCTTCCAGAACTACAGCCAGATAGACACCCTGGAGCTGGAGGGAGACGTGCAGATCTCATACGTACACTTCTGAGCCAACACACACACAATACTACACACACACACACACACACACACACACAATACTACAGACACACACACACACACTCTGGATGTTCCACCATGATTCAACATTGTACCTCTGTAAGCAGGTTGTTATTAGATGTTAATTTGATCCTAAGAGAGAGAATCAAAGTAATCAAACTACTTTAATAAAAATAAATATCATACCCAAAACCTGGTACTCCTAATTTCATGTAGCACATTGCGGTAATAGAACATAGAGAAATATAATCACCACAGTGGTGTAAGGAATGCACTATACACATTTATTTCTTACAAAATAAGTATACAAATCTGTTTTAAAATCAACAATGAGTATGTTTACTACTAATGCACACTAATAATTAGATATTAAACTGATTATGGCAGTAGGCTGAGTATGGAAATAGTCATGTGAACACCTTTACTCTGCTTATCTTAAATCGGCGTGAGGTCATAATGGAAGTAAGCACTCGCCAATTAAAACACCTGAGCAATTGTTCGAATTATTAGGAAACATGTAAACAGCTTTAATTGGCGTTCCAGTGGTGTATTTGATCAGCACCGGGTAGCGCTAGCTTCCCTCTAACGCACGAGTGAAGTGAGTTCGGAAAAAAACGGTTTTCACATAAAACTTTATATGTCCGAACTCAGAATCAAATAGTCTTCGCAAAAATAGCATAGTCACTGTGGTAGAACGTTTATTTTGATTAATGATTTTTTTTTGCATTTATCAAAAGCCTGATTTCAGATGTGTCCATGTAAACAGGATTATTTGGGAAATCTATTATATTAACCTGACTATCCACTATGCATGTAATCACATGTAACCGTGCTGTCATCATCATCGTAACACATTCTTCATCTCCCAATCAGATACATGGAAACCAAAGATTATCATTTAAACAAAACCAATCAGATCACAGAATACTGGCTCTCTGGAAGAAAGGCACTTTGTTCCAGCTGTATGATATGCTAATGGTTGGTTTATACTTTGTTTATCGACGTGTCTGTAGACAATTAGAATGTGACAAGTATCGCTGGTCAAAACTACATTTAATTTATACTCATGCCGACTTTTGGGCAGTGTCCTTGTAGCACAAGGATAAAAAATGTTTAAACTTTGACCCCGTCGCAGCATCCGTTTTCATGAGTACATGGGATGGGCTGTGCGCAGGCTACGTCTCGAGTAACTGGAGCTACATAATCATGACAACGAATTTCACCTGTCAATAAAATACGTGATTGACAGTTAGCCAGCTAACGTTAGCATACAGGATATGATACATAATATACATCTAATATTAGGGATGACCATATTTTTGTACAGCAGCTGTTAAGCTCAGTTATGGAGCCCCTGTGTCTCTTTGCCATTGAGAGGGAAGACTACAAAGATGCAAAAAAAAAAAAAGAACATTCCTGGTTAGAAATGGCAGCTTCACTCAGACCATAAATAAACGGACATTAGCCGAGCTAGCTAGCTAGCCTAGCTGATTCTAGACTAGTTTATCGATGAGAAATCAAACAAACAATTAATTCAAATGAACAAATGTTTTAATCAAATGTATTGCTTTAGCCATTCATATCCAAGGGCGAAGGTGCATAAAGATGGCGGCCCCCCTGTACTTACCACAGATGCCTAATTTGCTAAGTATTGTACATTGCTCTCCGTTACTCTTTTTTTGTATGGTGATTAGCAAAATATACATGAATAAAACAAAAAAGTAGATTGTGCTGATTTATAGGTACTTTGAACCATGTCGCGCTCCGTAGTTTACAAACGATGACATAATATCTGAATTCCTCCATCTTTATGCACCTTCAACATTGACTACTTTCAGCCAAAAATGTGCAGAAGAGGTTCGCCGCAGCTTAAAAGATACAGGAGGGTCAAGGAGGACAAAAATAAACCACGCAGTGGGGCAAACCAGAAGCCGAAATGGCCCTATTTCACCTTAAAGGGATAATCCACCCAAAACCACTAATTACTATGATTTTCATTTTATTTTTTTCCAGAGCAACTTATCCAGAGCAACTTACAGTTAGTGAGTGCATACATTCTTTTTTTTCTTTTTTCATACTGGCCCCCCATGGGATTCGAACCCACAAATATGGCGTTGCAAACGCCATGCCCTACCAACTGAGCTACATCCCTGCCGGCCATTCCCTCCCCTACGACGCTGGGCCAATTGTGCGCCGCCCCATGGGTCTCCCGGTCGGCTACGACAGAGCCTGGATTCGAACCAGGATCTCTAGTGGCACAGCTAGCACTGCGATGCAGTGCCTTAGACCACTGCGCCAGTGTTAAATAACACTAATATGTGAAAACTTATATATTTTTGTGAATAAATGTTTCATTTTGTTGTTATATAAAAGGCATGAGCTGGCGCACGCCCAGAGAAAATGATTTAGTGTAGAGGTGGTGACTAACGGGGAATAAACTGTAACCCTGAAGAAGGCACAGTGATGCCGAAACGTAGCTGTCTTACCTAATAAATTACTGGGAGTTTATATACAGAGACTCTCTTTATTTTACTTTTATAGCTTTCATTTTGTTGTTATAACAACGTTGGTAGCAAAAGTGACATAGTAATCAAATAAGTGACATAGTAATCAAATAAGTGACATAGTAATCAAATAAGTGACATAGTAATCAAATAAGTGACATAGGAAAGCAATCAAATAAGTAACAATGTAAATATATAACATACTAATAAAAGGACCAAATAAACAAGAGGCAGATCAAAGAAAATAAGATGTAAAAAAATTGCTTATAGGGATACAGTGAGTGGAATAAGTTCAGTTCAGTTGCAGCATAGAATCATATGATCATATATATATATATATATACTTTAGAAGTGTATTAAGGTGACATAACTACTGCATTGGTAAACAAAAGTGATTTCAGTGTGTACGGAACATGAATAAATGGTAAGTGTGTGGTAGGGTTCAGCTGTTGGGTTAGAGGCTGGCTTTGAGACAGGTGGTTCGAGACTTGATGTTGACCCTCACTGCAGCGGATTCCTCTCCCCTGCCTCCACCCTTCACAATCGGAGGTCCCTTGCAGGTAACGGGGTGACCTGAATCTGGACCACCTCATCCGGGGTTGCAGGGTTCTTCCGAATGGCTCCTACACACCAATAAAATTACATTGAGTTACATTTGAATCACACATGGTTTTAGGAATTGACTTAAAATTAGAGAAAACAAGTGTAACACATTTAATAATATCAAAACTTACTGTGAAGAAACAAATCCCTGAAACAGGCCTTATCCCCTGCCCCAGTCCAGGTTGTCGCAATGGCAAGACGGTTTGACAGAATGCAAGGTAACATCCGCCACACTGTCGACTTCAGGTCCTTGGCACCCATTACAGTCAGAAACCTAAGCTACAAAAATGCAAGAAGTATTAGAAATGATATACTATGTTAACATACAGTGCGTTCGGAAAGTATTCAGACCCCTTCACTTTTTTCACATTTTGTTACGTTACAGTCTTATTCTAAAATTGATTGAATTAATTGTCTTCCTCATCAATCTACACACAATACCCCATAATGACAAAGTGAAAACATTTACATATGTATTCTGACCCTTTGCTATGAGACTCGAAATTGAGCTTAGGTTCATCCCATTTCCATTGATCATCCATGATATGTTTCTATAACTGTGGTAAATTCAATTGATTGGACATGATTTGGAAAGGCACACACCTGTCTATATAAGGTCCCACAGTTGACAGTGCATGTCAGAAGATAAACCAAGCCATGAGGTCGAAGGAATTGTCCGTAGAGCTCCGAGACAGGATTGTGTCGAGGCACAGATCTGAGGAAGGGTACCAAAACATTTCTGCAGCATTGAAGGTCCCCACGAACACAGTGGCCTCCATCATTCTTAAATGGAAGAAGTTTGGAACCACCAAGACTCTTCCTAGAGCTGGCCGCCCGGCCAAACTGAGCAATCATGGGAGAAGGGCCTTGGTCAGGGAGGTGATCAAGGACCCAATGGTCACTGACAGAGCTCCAGGATTCCTCTGTGGAGATGGGAGAACCTTCCAGAAGGACAACCATCTCTGCAGCACTCCACCAATCAGGCCTTTATGGTAGAGTGGCCAGACGGAAGCCACTCCTCAGTAAAAGGCACATGACAGCCCGCTTGGAGTTTGCCAAAAGGCACCTAAAGGACTCTCAGACCATGAAAAACAAGATTATCTGGTCTGATGAAACCAAGATTGAACTCTTTGGCCTAAATGCCAAGCGTCACGTCTGGAGGAAACCAGGAACCGCTCATCACCTGGCCAAAACCATCCCACCATGCTGTGGGGATATTTTTCAGCGGCAGGGAGACTAGTCAGGATCGAGGGAAAGATGAACGGAGCAAAGTACAGAGAGATCCTTGATGAAAACCTGCTCAGAACCTGCTCAGGACCTCAGACTGGGACGAAGGTTCACCTTCCAACAGGACAACGAACCTAAGCACACAGCCAAGACAACGCAGGAGTGGCTTCGGGACAAGTCTCTGAATGTGAGCCCGGACTTGAACCTGATCGAACATCTCTGGAGAGACCTGAAAATAGCTGTGCAGCGACGCTCCCCATCCAACCTGACAGAGCTTGAGAGGATCTGCAGAGTAGAATGGGAGAAACTCCCCAAATACAGGTGTGCCAAGCTTGTAGCGTCATACCCAAGTAGACTTGAGGCTGTAATCGCTGCCAAAGGTGCTTCAACAAAGTGCTGGGTAAAGGGTCTGAATACTTATGTAAAGGGCTTTTTTTTCTCCTCTGAATGTAGCTTCATATAACGTTAGTCAATGTTGTTAACTAGCAAACCATCTAACATTAGCAAGCTAGCTAGCTAAGTAACTTGTCTAGCAAGGACCTAATCAGATAGCAAACTAGCCAACTTAACAGCATTTATCATCATTTAGCTAGCTAGCAAACGGCCAAGTTCATGTTTCTAGCTAGCTAGCTAACTAGCTAACGTTAGCGAGCTAGCCAGCCATGTAACGTTAACTAGCTAGGCTAGCTAGCTAACTTGCGTTGTTGTCCTCGTTAACGTTACACAAGTAAAACTACTATCAAATGAAGGAAAGCAGTAACGTTACTTACTTGAGCAAACAATCTTTGCATTATAATCATGAACAGATGAGAAAAGTAAAAATGAGAAAAAAGTTCAAATGCGTTGATTTGAAAAATA